AGTGACCTTTAACTTGGCTAACAGTAGATAATGAGGAATTAAAATGTTATGTAGAAATTCTTTGCTGTATATTTATTTAGCTTTCACCAGTAGCCCTTTATCATTCAGTGGAGAGAGATGAGCACATTTAAGACTTGTTCATATCATTTGTGATTATTTCAGCATGAGATAAATTGTCTTAGTTAACAGAATTATTAAAGTATGAGCCTTATGCATGGACTTGCAAATAGATAGTGTGGCAGTTTAGAAAATTTGAACCTACCATTAAAGGGCAGCTTGAATTAAAACTATCATATGAATGACTTCATACATCCCTGAAACATTTATGCCACTGAACATTGTTATTTTATCTCTTTAAGGAACACATAATTCACATAAATATATAGTTTCTACTCTAGGATATTAAGAAAGACTATTTTGGGCACTGAAAAACAACACTGGGGGATTGTCCTGTCTTGATTAAAATTACTGCACAATCAAGAGATGCCATTCAATATCTATCAAACAACTATTTTAGAATGCCTTTCAGTCAGAGGATTTATAACCATCTGCATGAGATTTTTATTTTGACAGCATTTTATATTTTTTTTAAAAGATCTTGAAAAAATACATCTATAATCTGTGTTTATTAGTTATTGAAAGTTTTGTTATTTTTCAAGGATTATGAAGATGATTTTGAAGATGATGAAGACAAAAGTGGTGAAGAAAGAGATGCAGAAGAAAACCTAAGGGAGATTCCTTTTTCCAGAACATCAGAAATAGAAGAAATTCAAAGAGCAATTAGTGCAGAAAATGATAGAATTTTTAATTCACCGCTGAAGAAACTTGAAGATGAAAAAAAGGAACCAATCATGGGTATGTGACTGGATACCAATCTTTTTTATTAAATGTATGAGTAACACATACAACTTAGGAGTAAACAGGCCACTTTTTCTAGAAGTCTGCCTAAACACAAAGTCTGGTGCTCTGGGTGAGTCACTTGGGTTTGTGGGTAAGCACTGCAACTGCCACATTACTAAAGAATGATTCAGAGGCATTACTAATCATTTAAAATGTGAAGTATAAAAATGTACAGACTGACATTTAATACATCTTATTTTGGGTAAGAGGAGGATATGAGAGTCTGGATTTTGAAAACTGGAGGAGTGTTAGAACAGTTTGGGGCTTCTGCTGGCGTTAAATTCACCTTTTTCTTTTAAGCAAATTTGAAGCCTCTGTTCTGGGTGGGAAGGTGAGAGAAATATCGATACTACTGAGATATATAGTCCTACATAACTTTTAAATGCAGGCTCTTTCTGCAGTGTTGTCTTGCATTCAGTTGATCTGATACCTGGGAGTGGCAGAGCTACTTATTTTCCTACAGTTGTTCCTGTAAAGTTCCTTTTGCACTCCACACTCAAGTGAATAACTGTATATAATCATTGTGCAAAAGAGTGATAAATAGCTTTTTAGTCTGGTTCATACAAAGTTGTTGCAGTCATGGAAGAATAGCATGGAGTTTCTTTAAGTCTTTCCAGTATCTCTCAAAGGTCTTTTCCTGCCTAGAAAATTCTATGATTCTGTCAATAGATTTTCAGTTCAGTAAAAGAGTAGTTGCAGCCAGTACCAGTAATGTGAATTTCTCCTTGCAGAAGATTTATGCAATTATTATTTTTCTAATAAACAATATGGAATCAATAAATTCGTTCCATTAATGCTATAGGACAGGACACTAGGACATTAATGAACAGCATGGCATTCTAATATAGAATCAGATTTTAAAATTTCAGAATTGTAGCACTTGGTGCTTTATTCCAAATTACACAACAGACCTTTTTTGGATGAAGTTTCGACCTCATTTGCTTAAAATGGTTGTTGATCATTCTGGTAATTATTTTTAGAAGTTGAAAAGCATATTACAAGTATTACCTAAAAAGGCAGTTTTCTTTTGAGGAAGTGAAACACCATTAGTCCTGACTGGAAGTTGAATATTAAGGTCAATTAGCTACCACTTAGCCTGGAAAGGGAGTAAAATAGGCATGACAACAGTTATTGTAGTTGGTCTATTAACTGTGGCTTTTGAAGGAACAGTTTTCAGTGTTCTCCTTATTCATCCAAGGGCATTAGTTAAGCTTGTGCTGAGGAGGTTCTCCACTATGTGTAGTGATGAATTCTGATTTAGAGGGGAAAATCTGTGTCAATTTGGTAGAATTTTTAGAATAGATCATAGAGTGTTTTACTGTACATAGGGGAACAAGGGACCTGCTAATGGCAAGAGGAAGAAAGAGGCCCTTTCTGCATCACAGTCTTCTAGAACAAAAATTACTATAGTCAGTCATTTTGAATTGATGGATAAAAGACCATAATAAGGGACATATCCTGGTCCATTACTGAAGTTAAGCTCATTATACTGAAAGCTGTGATAGAGCACTTTGTGTAGCCTGTAAACTAGTCATTTTTAGTAGCTGTGCTGTAATAAATCTGTTGCTTTTTAGACTTACTGCTTTGCATTTTCATGCACTGTAAAGTGTGAACTGTAACACTAACAATGGTTTATAATATCACAGAAAACCAATCAGAAACTGTCAGAAACTCTTTTTGTGGAATATTCATGGATTTTCAAATGGCAAACCAACGACAAAGTAGTCGAAGTATGGCCAGTAAACAGAAGTAAGTGTATTTTAAATAATCCACACAAAAGGGCAGCTCACTATGTGAGATGTAATTTTTTTCATTGTATTTGAAATATGTGAACTTTATAAATTTGAGGTTTATAGAATCAAGTATTATTTTGTTAGCTAACAGTAATTAGTTCTTAAGTATAATGTACAGGCTTTGCTACATAAAATTTTGTAACAGAAATTTATGTATATATCAGTTTATGTGCATCATAATTCTTCAATCACTTAATTAGATATTGACCTAAAGTACTAAAGAACAAGCCCTTTAGCTGCTGTTGGGTCTCTGCAGAACCATAATTTCTTGAAATATTCAAGATACTTTATGGTGTGTTACTGTTACCAAAATAGCATGTTCCTTTCCAGGGATAACATCAATTGGTGTAAAAGCATGTTATTACTGATCTAAAATTGATCTAGATTTGAGATATCTAAGACATCCCTGTATTTTAAAGAAACAAATTGATGCTTGCTTTTTTTGTGGAACTTGCCAGGAGCTCCAGATTTATCTGAAGCACTGTATATACCTCCAATTTTCTGTTGCAGTACTGGGATGCATAAAGCAAGATTATTAAATGTTGTTGTTAATAATAGATTCCACTGTTTCATGGCTCCACATCAGTGACTAATCTTCACATAAGGAGAATTTTATTGTCTAAGCTGTCTAATTCACCTTGTCTAAATTTATGTGCCCAAATTTTGAGCAAGTTCATTGTCTAGGCTTCCTCCCTAGATGGTGGAGACAGATTAGGAAACTCAGGAAGGCATCTCTGAAGAATTGCCTTCTGGAATGTTTTTCAGCCTGTAGTGATTGTGTACTATGACTGATTATGGCTATGTATATAACTCTGTGTACATGCTGACAACATAAATATCTGTGAAGATACAAAGCATTTTCATGGAAAGAGAAAGGAGCTGTGGAATTTAATGCTGTGATAATACATTACTACCAGTAAATAGACTGAAAGTGTCCCTTAAATGAGCTGTGGCACTTTGGAGTTTTAAGAAATAATATGAGCTTATTAGTTTATTTTAAGGATTTGTGTGTATGTGTTATTCAGATTTGCAACTAGGAAGCAACTTTCATACGTTTGAGTAAGATCTTAGCAATCTGTGCCCACGTTTGTGAAGAGGTGACATTAAGAAGCACAAGTTAAAATAAAGTTTGTGTAAGAAAGTGCAATAGATGTCATCAAGTAGCAAAAAAGGGATATATCTGGTTTGTATTTATTTATAGTTTTTAAGGACATTAAAAAAACCTGAAAGTGCAAGAGAGAGACAGGGAGACTGCAAAAATGTTCTCGTTGTTGAGGGATTTGCACTATAGCAAGAGCCTGGAATTAACTTGTAAACTGACATCTGCATGTAATTCAAGCAGTTCACTCTTAAAATGAAACATCTTAACAGTTTTATGTCATTACAGCAGGTAGATAGTCATGTGAATTGTGACAAAGATTGTCAGTCTTTTCATTATCCACATATCCACACAAGTTAAGTGATAGGAATCTCTTTGTAGTTAATGATAAGTAATATCACATAAATGTATTTTTACTTTACAGAGTAGAGATACAGTATATGAAGGTAGACTTGTTTTCCAATTAAGAATCAAACTATGGTTTTATTTGTAAGCAAAGATGAAAAAAATTAAAAATTAAGGTAGGCAGAAAATAAAAAAAATTGAGAGAAGATGGATAAGGCAGTTACTTTTTTATCATTCCAGCAAGAGAATTTAGTAAGATGGAAAGATTTGGTGTTTCATAGGACAAAGAGGTATCTCAAATCCCGTACAATGTGTTAATCTTACTCAAAACTAAAAATACAAGTGGAAAAATACACAGTCTCCCTCAATCTCGAGTACTTGTTTTCATACAATTTAGATCAAATCCAACACTCCAGTAACTGAAGTTTTTTGGAGGCTTACTTTTAGGGCAAGAGGTCAATATTCATGGCCATGGGTTTTGAATCAGCAATAAAGTAGTTTCGTTTGTGTATTTCAAATATATTTTAGGATTGATAAACTGCTATTGTTGTTTGTTTCCTTAGTGATGTAAAGAGGTCTGAATGCAGGCAGTCTATTCTAGTACAAGTGAAGGTCATTCAAGACACATTTGCACATGTCTAACAAAGCCAGGATATTAGAGAAGAACTTTATAAAGCATGTACATATATAAGTGATGTAAGTTAATAAAAGGAGTTTAGGAGAATTAGCCACCATCCTAACTTGTGGAAGAGACATTCATCTCTTACCTCACAGAACAGCTTTTGAATACTTAGAAAAGATGATCTGCTGGGTTTTTGACAATTTGGGTTTAATAATAAACCATGTTTGGCATTTGCAATCAGTATTGCATTTTCAAATATGATAATTATCTCAGCATAATTAAATGAAAACTCATAACAATATTCTGTATACTTTTATTGATATATTTTGATCTGCCAATTAATTTTGGTACAACTTCAATTCACATAGATTAAAGTGTTGTTAGATCTCTGGTACTGAACAAAATCACATTGCTTTTCTTTTGGAATACCAAATACTTGGTCTTAACCATTTTTTTTTTCTCTCTTGTAATCAATTCTAAAGAAAACGGAGTTCAGAACTTCTCCCACTAATTGACCTGGATTTCTCAGTTAGTTTTTCATTACTGGATTTGCCCCCTGTAAATGAGTACGACATGTATATCAGGAATTTTGGTAAAATGAACACTAAGCAGGTGCGTAACAAATATATAGTGATACTTAAATCCTGAAAGTGCTGATGCTTGTTCTGGAAAATAATTTTCCTTAAAAAGAAAGTTCCTAAAGCTAATGGAACAGTAGAGTAATAAATTAATAATTTTCATCTCTGAGCCCTAATTACCATAAAGCAACAATCTCAAAACTTTTGGCCAGACAGACCATTTCCTTTCTGTGTTAGAAAAGGACTCTCTCATTTTCCTCCCCCATTTTCTAAAGGGCTTTCTGCCTGTCTGTGGCTCAGTGTCCCCAAAAATGCTGCCTTGGTGTTTATGCATCATGTGAGACATTTTGTATTTTTGCACTCTTGTGTGAAATGTGGTAAAATTTGCATGCACAAAATAGGGACAATGTGTCAGTATGCTTAGGTCTGAATTTGCAAACAGAAGAGGCTGAGCACATGAGTTTTAGAATTCCAAAGTTCTGTTCAGTTCTGTGCTGTCCTTCTTAGCTGTGTCACCCATTTAGTGACCACTTTCCACCTTAGGCGTACGTTCAGTGTAACGAGGACAATCTGGATAGAGACATTCAGACTGAGGAAGTTGAGACATTGGAGAAATGGACACAGCATCCAGGAGAAAGTTCTCTTGTGTCTGGAGGTGAAGAACATTTAATCTTATTCGTTTATGGATGTGTTCATGTCATGCAAACTTTCTCTTTTGTGTCCGTTAACTGTGAGAATGTGCAGTGTGTCAGGCTGCACTGATCCCAAACTGCCAGAGCCACTTCGAGTCCCCATGTGGAGGGGGGTGAGGAATAAGTGGCAGAAACAGTTCTTCATTCTGGCTTGCTGTTTCTGTTGGCAGCAAAAATGATTCCCCAACAGATCTTGGTCTTCAACACTGCTATTCCTGCTGAAGAAAAGCTGATTCTTACCACTCTCCTCTTGCTTAAAGATTAAATCGTTCTTCCACTTTCCTTAACTGATTCCCTTTTGAAGCTTCAAGTTTGATTTTTGAGTTTTTTTTGTTTTCCATAGGTCCCAGAAACAGCCAGGATATGTCAGTGACTGGAGTTCTAACACCTAAAAGTGATTCACAAAGATTAGCAAATTTCCTTCGGTCTGCCTGTCAGGTACTTTTGTGTCCTTAATATCCCTTATGAGCTGTGTGCATAACTATACATTGTGATAGATCACTTTCAGCTCTTGTTCTGACTAATTTAAATACATGACTTAAATCATACTCATTAGCAATGAGAATCATCTCTGCAAAGGAATGGAATCAGAGCTGTGTCTGTAAAGCTGTATTTGCAAAAATACAAAATTACAAGAGAGTTGATAAAGATTTATTAAATTTATCCACATACCTTTGGAAAAACTAAAATAGCAAAGCTGAAAGATGAGATGACCCTTTTACTTCTATAAATGTAATTATGTTTGAAAGGTGATTGCTGTTTTGCTAGAGGAAGATCAAGTTGCAACACAACCCAGGAAACTAAGATCTCGACAAACCAGTCTGTCTATTAGTGATAGCTGTTTCCAGTTAAATACTAACCAGCCATTCCTCCATGGTAAGGGAACTTTATTCTACACCTTTTAGTATACAGAGTGAACTCTTCTTTCTTTGCAAAATACCATACTCTTTGTCATAACTGTGCAAACAGCACATATCAGGATACCCAGATGCTGTAAACCCCACTTTTCTTTTAGTTGCACTAATCCTGCTGTAACTGTGCAGATTGGTTTCACATCAGTAACATCAGAGCATCCTACAAGAAATATCATGCATGTCATTTCTTGCCCCTGTTGTTGAGGGGCCATCCCAAGGGGTGTAATTTCATTTGGGCTCTTTATGCTGACAGTAGGGCCAAAACTGTAAATAAAGGCAGGTTATTAAAGGGAGAATATCACCTGATATATTTGAAAAGCAATTATATCTTCCCCATATAAGCAGTAGCTGTTCTGGTGAAAATAAAAATGAAAAATAAAGCATCTGTAATTATGTTAGGAAGGCCTATAACACACCTAGTCTAACATGAACACGTGAGGTGAACCAGCAAAAACCTGACCTGTGCTGTTTCCTGTTTGAGACTCAGCTTAATTTTGAGTATATAGAGTGACATCAGATCAGATTGGCTTGCTTATGCCCAGAATAATTATTCTATTAACTTTCTGACTGTCTTGCTTTTTTTTTCTCTACTTACTTATAATATTTTGGAATCTTTCTCTAGTCCCTCCTTTTTTATTGTATAGCTTCAAAAGCAACCCACTCTTAATAGAAATATTCTTCATCATTGTGTCTTAGTTCCTTTGTTTGTTGCTATAGCAGCTAAATGTGCTTTTTCATCTGCAGTGAGTTTGCTTTTTCATTTATTGCATTTCTTGCTTGACTTTTTCTTAATGGTTTAGACCGAAAAATATCCTGCCTATATGTCTCTCAAGTTCAGAGGCAGACACTACTTTCTGTTCATGGATTACCTGAGAAGGCAGGTGTGGACTTACTGAACAGAAAGAGCCTCATATGTGTTTGGAACATCTGGCAGCCCTCCAGTCCTCAGAAAGTTTTAATATGTGACTCAGAGGTATGTTTTAATAGCATTGTATGTATTGTATATATTGTGTATATTGTATATACCCATTGTATATATGGGTTATATTGCATATAACCCATCAAAAATAAAAGCTTTATTATGTGTATTTTGGGGTTTTTGTCTTGCTGCATGATATGCCATCTTTTGAGAAACACTTTTGAGCCTAGTGAATGAAACACTGTTCTCATTCTATTTTGTGCTCCAGAACAAAGTTGTAGTGATGGTCATGGTGTTTTGTTGTTTTGGTTGTTCAATTTAGACTCTATTTCATTGTTGAAGAGTGAATGAAAGTAAAACATCTGGTTCAGATGTTGTCAGGACTTTTCTCTACTCATCACTGTCATACAGCTGAGTCACCCCCTTCAGTGTCTTGGTAGTAGATGCAGATTACAAAACATTTGTCTTGAAAAGGCAAGGCCTACTGAAAGTCTTCTATCCTACATCCCCTTTTAAAATAAATTGCTCTTTTGCCATTAACACATGTAATCTGTATAGGAATTACACTATGAAGTACATATTTCAGGCTTGTCAAATCATTTGCCTTTATCATAATATCAACCATGCATATTTTTACTGTTTAACAGGTGATGTGTTGCTGCTTTAGCCCCAGTAAAACAACATTAGTTTTTGCTGGAACAATAGATGGTTCATTGTTGGTCTGGGATCTTCGAGAAGACTCAAGAATGCACCCCCATATGATGATGAGTGGAACTGACTGGACATTTAGAGTTCCAACATTTTCCACTGGTTAGTATCTGTGCATCCTGGTTAGTCATTTTGTGTGCAGTGAAATAATACTCAGTAGCCTAGTTTAGCCAGTTCAGGTATTATATTTAGTCTAGTAAAAATTGTCAATAATTAATAGCTAAACAGAGATGGAAGCCAGCTCAATGTGCATCAAGCAGTGAGAACAGAGAAGTGGACCAGCTATAAAACCTAAGGAGCATTGTAATATTAAAATGGATACTCAACTAGTACCTCATCTGAAATCGTTAGGTTAGTCACTTTTCAATGTGTTGTGTCCCCTAATATAACCTACATTTTTTGATCTACATCTAGACATATATATTAAGATTTCTCTGATTTGACTTAAGCACATTCACAAAATCCTCTTTTCTTCACAAGTGTATCTAATTGCAGAAGCCATTTAAAAATAAACAGTAGTTGGTTGTTGGCAGACTTAATTTTTTTAATAGGTCAAAGATGCTTGGTCTTGTGTTGCACACTGGGCTGGTAGTCAAATGTATTGGTACAGTGTCATGTAATTGCTTATATAAGAAAGCAGGTTTAATACTGTATACTTAGAAAGCTTTATGCCTTTAGTCTTAAATGAAATTAAGTTCAGTGCACAGGAAAAATCCAGAAATCATGAGTAACTGACAAAGAACACTTATTAAAATAAATACACATTTATTTTAAAATGTTCTTAAAGGGTAAATACATATTTTCTCATGGTGAATTCTTTGTTTCAGGGTAGTTAATTTCTATTAAGGGTAATTTTTCTTTGATTTTTTCTTTTTTATGTTAAGCAGTGATTTATTTCTACCACTATTTTTTATGAAGCTTGAAATTATCATAATTCTTTTCATGCTAACCCTGAAATGGAAGACTTTAATGAAATGTCTGGTACAGTGGCATAAATGGTGCAGCAGTCATTTGGAAAATGAGAAGTAAATAGAAATATTGAAACATTGATTTATCTAGTAATATTTTGTTAATTTAGGAAACAGTTTGCAGTACTGTATTTGAGACTTTGGCAAAGTCATTCTTTAAGTTCATTATTTGCTGTTCTTTTTTTGTAGTCATCATTTTCCCATAAGCTGAAAAGTGATTAAGATTTTATTGTTGGTTTTTGTTGAAAGTAATATCATGTTTAACTTTCACTGTCCTTAATTACAGATGGCATTCTAAACTCAGTAAACCACACCTCTCCTGTACTTGCAGTGGAACCAGTCTCAACCTCTCTTGACACTGATCACAGTTATGGGCTCTCAGGCCTCTCCTATCAGGAGGGTATGTAAGCTACTCATCAAAGCATCAATACATCTGAGTCTTTCTTTAGGTAGCTAGGGAAGCAAATATATCATAGTCAAAATCCAGTTTATAATGCTACTTTGCCTCTTGTCTGTGGTATCAACTGCACACAAATGCATGTTTGTTTTCTGCCCTCATTTTTAGGTAATGTTTGTTTGGTTTCACATCAGATGTGGGTGCATGCTTGTTATAATGTCTGCTTTCCAGACAATGTTTTATTCTTCCATGATAAAACAAGTTATCACTCGAAAACTGCCTTTAGAAAAGTCTTAATGCTTCTATAATGCCTGAAAAAAATCTCTGTCTGAGTCAGAGGAGCAACTTGCTTATATCTGAAAGCACTTAAAATGTGTGACTGTACTTAGTGGTTTTTCCTGTACCTTTTTCCCATTTTTTTATGACTGACCTTGGCAAAAAACATTCCAATCCTCATGTCCTCAAATTCTCAGACAGTGTTCTGGAGGAGGCATTATTGCTTCCATTGCAGATTTGTACTTTGAAATCTGTAGTGGTTAAAAAAATGTGCTTCATATTGCAGGTTTTACAACATTTCACCTGTTGCACTTTATGTTCCCTTCCAAAGTCCATGCAGAATCCAGACATTTTTAAAAGATACAGACAGAGATCATCTGCCTTTCTGGTAGGACAAGCTACACATACTAGAATAGACAGAGATATAGAACAGACTGTTGGAGTTGGAAGGGACCTACAAGGATCATCCAGTCCAACTGCATGACCAGTCTGGGGCTGACCAAGTTAAAACATGGTAAAGGCATTGTCCAAATGCCTCCTAAACACTGACAGCCTTGGGCATTGACCACCTCTCTAGGAAGCCTCTTCCAGTCTTTGACCACCCTCTCAGTAAAGAAAGTTTCATACCTTTTTTTGCCTTGGTAGAATTAGAGCACTTTCCCTTTCTAGGCAGCTGAGAGGATTGTAGAAGTGTCAGAGAATATATTAATGTGGGAAATGTTTTAAATCCTCTGATATTGTTCAGCAGAAAAGTCAATGTATGAATATAAATTGTTGCCATTCCTTCCACAGAAGTGTCAGGCCCTCCATTTCAGATAGCTTCAATGGATGAAAATGGAATCCTCAATATGTGGGTGAGTAATATATGTAGGAAGAGTATGATGTGTTGGAATAATAAAATACTTCAAATATAGCAACTCCAATTCAGAATTTCTGATGAGAATTTCCTTCCTGAAAAGTGCATTAGCCATTCTGTTGGAATTCTCCTTAAAATTTTTGACCTGACTCCCTAATGTTGTCCTTAGGAAAAACTTACCATGAATTCATGAAAATAGGCAATCAGTAGTTTTACTTCATAGGAATATGTTCACATATTTCTATTAATTTATTAACAGACCTCAATCCTCTTTCACCCATCTGCTTTATTTTAGAATCACAGAGACTGTACTGAATGTAGGGGAGAAATTACATTCATAATTTATATAAAACAAATGTTCAAGAGACAAAAAGTGAAAATCAGTGGTTAAGATTGCCTTGCCTAAAATGTGATAACCAGGAAGGCACGAGGTCTGTTAGTCTTAATTGCTGTCCTGACAACTCTTCTTTCTATCAGATGTTTTCAGTCATTTTTTCCTGCTGCAGCTTTGGCTCAGCTGCTGAGCGTGTTTGCAGCTGAATTGATCTTGCTTAAGGAACCAAAGAGCTCAGTGAATAATAAGGGGATAAAAGTATTTCCCTTCTGTATCACTAATTAAGTCCCTTAAAACTCTAAGTAACTTTAGCAGCAGCCAAATGATCTACCCTTTCTATTTGATGAGTCGTGAAAAGCACAGGAAATGTGTAACAATTTCTTATTTTGGAGGTTTAGGTGGTTTGTTTATGAATGACCAAACAAGACCAAGCAATTAAGTGGAGAATGTAACCTTCCATATTCTGCTTTCCAGCAGGGAACATCCAGCAGGCATGGGAAGCTATTTTTAGAATTGCAGACATTGACAGGGGATAGAGAATCTACCTGTGATCATTGTAATGTTAAACCTGCCTCTCTAAATGTTCCTTTGGAGTTATCTCATACATTTTTACAAATACTTAAAAAACTTTGGAGTCTGGTAAATATCGATTGTTTACTAGTGTTAAATATTGACTTTTCAGGTAGTTGTTGAATTACAAAAAGTGGATTTAGCTGGTTCACAAACTGATTTAGGTGAGTACTGTACATTAAAAGTAGAATAAAATGCTCCAGTTTTGAGACTATGATGTTAGAAGAGATAGAGGCAATGATGCCAAACAGTTTAAAAGAAGGAAAACTTACTGAGGAAAAGATTAATTCTGTATAGTACATATCTCATGTTTGGGGTTATTGGTTAGGTATAATGAGAATTATTTTCACTGCTATCTGAGTCTCATCTGCTAATTCTGCATTGGTAATTACCACTAAACAACCACATTTCTTATAATGTCAGAGCAGTTGTCTGTATCCCTAACAGCTTTTTTTCCCAAAGAATATAAGATTCTTTGGTCCTCCTGTTCTTTCTTTAGTTTTAACAAATCTGTTACAATGCTTTTGTTGTTGCCTGTATCTCCATTTTGATAATTGTCCTGAAAGTTCTCTTTTGAGTAAGGTACTTATTTTAGTGTGAGAAAAAAGTTTCCATGAAAAAATAAAGAACCAAGTCCATTCAGCCCTTTTTGAGTTATGTGAATAAAGCAAATGACATTCTTTGTTCTTTTAACAAACTTAGACTTACCTACTTACCTAACTGGAAAAGGCTGTGATTAAAATCCTGATATATTTGAAAATACATAAACAATGAAGTAATGCCAACAAACCAGAGTTTTTGACCAGTTTTCTATAAGCTTGTGTGCAATGTCAGGCTGTATTAGGCTGCTAAAGCTGGGTGTTATGTCTGTGGAGAGGTACATTTTAAAGCTGTGGTCATGGTTTACACACAGTTTTACTGCGACCAGCTTTCATTTTTTTCCTCTTCAAAAAGTTCTTGTCTTTGAAGGATTTGAATTATTTATGCTATCCTCTACTAACAAGCAAAATAGACCAACTTTGTAGAAGCATTAATTATGGTTTCTTGTTACTAAAATTCACTGTCAAAGATCCAAGTGACTCAAATGTACATTTTAACTGTTGCTAGAATTGGGTTTTATGGAGTGATATTGCAGGATGTTATATGCATGCTGAAAAACTAAAACAGAAATGTAATCATGTTTCCATTTCTGGCAAAAATTATAACTCTTCAGATTTGGATTCTGAAGTAAAAAGTTGTAAATGATGTAAGATTCTTACATATCAAAAACTATATCTGCAGTAAACAATTTTATTATGAAATATCCTTTTCCTTATTACCGTAGGATTTAATTTAATGATTGCACTTTTTTAATGCAAAGTGCTTAAATCAGTTTAAATAATAATGTTGTATAATTGTAGGTTTAGTTCCTGGAGGGAAAGTGAAGTTAGTACATAGCTCAACTATGGAATTGAATAGCAGGTAAGAAAACTGAGGTGTTTCAATTTTACATGTGTATCTCACAAAGCTAATTCCTCCTGTACTTTATTAATTTGCTGTTATATAAGACATATTTAATATTATTTTGATTAGTTGTTTTGCAGGGGTTTTTTTAATACACATATCTTCCTAGAGCTAGTCATATATATTTTAGATCAAGGGTTTCTATATGTACTTGCACAGCTTTTGGAGATAACTTCCTGTATTAATGTCTTTTCCCTTTATGATTTTGTAGCCTTTTCCCAAAGGATATTCGCCAGAGAATGCCACAGACACTGACCATTAAATTTCTGTCTTCTAATCCTAATCATTTCATTGTTGGAACAAACATAGTGAGTAATGTGCTGAAATTCATCTGATTGTTATTTTTTGTTTTGGAAGATTCCCATTTAGTTGGAATTTCACCAGGAGGCTGTATATAAAATTTATAATTCGAGCCTATTATTAAAATCTGTTAGCTATTAAAATTTGTTAGCTAGTAAGGATCCTTTAGGTAACAGCTCTGTGGATTATTTATCTTCCTCTTGTAATACCTCTAATGCCAATTTTTGTTGTTTTTTTTTTTTCTTAATTAATTTTCTTTATGTTGTTCATAGGGTCTGGTAGGCCATGGTACAAGACATGGTTTAAAAGTTGTTCCAAAGCTATTCAGGCCCCAGGAGAGTGGACTGAGATCAATAAGCATCACTGCAATTGATTTCTTCCCTTTTGGAAAGCCACTATTTTTGGTATGAAAAAGTTTTAATAGAAGTTTCATTTTTTAATTACTTGTTGAGGGAGTATTTCTAATTTGACATATTTGTGATAATTGATTTACATCACTAATTCCAATCTGCCATGGAGATTTTAAATGTAAGCACTATTTGCAGAGTCACTGTAAAAATTTAATATAATTTGAAAATTCTAGGAAGTCTTCCTGATGTAGAGGTGACTCAGGATTGTAAGTAGAAGTTATTTCCTGTTTTCACAGAATATTTTCTTTTGTACATGGATTAGAGCAAACTTGTAAATGTCAGACAAATGTTATCAGAAAACACCTGGAAGCAGTGGTGTCTCCCTGTCTTTGGAATTAGTTGTTTATTATGAATCAGTTTAATATTATTATACTATTAAACACAACCTGTCCTGTTGAAAGCTGTTCTTCCTTTTACAGAGGACATGTGGCACTAGGTAGACCTTGCCCCAGTTCAGACTGCTGTCACGTTGTGCTGGATGATAGTGAAGTTTGGGAACTTCACAACTTAACCCAGGATTAGTGGATACTCTAGTATGCTTACATACAGTGGTACAGAGTGACTGCTTTTGAACTCAGAATTACAAATTGATACATAAATACAACAGTTAAAATCCAGATAGTCCATAGAGTGAGATATGAGAGACATGTGCCACTTGAGGCAGATATGTGATTTTATTTATGTGCTTGATATCCTCAAGAGTTGAACAGCAGTTTTTATCTTGCTTAGTTTGTTTTGTTCCAGAAGGTATTTTTTTTTAACTGTGATATAGGTTGGCTGTTCTGATGGAAGCATTAGATTACATCAGATGACATCAGAGTATCCTGTCATGCAGTGGAATGACAGCACAAATGGCCAGCCCATTATTGCCCTGCAGTGGGCTTTAACAAGACCTGCTGTGTTCTTTGCCCTCGATGCATCATCTAATATTTACATTTGGGATCTTCTGGAAAATGATTTGTTGCCTGTGGCAAAGGAGACTATTCCATCAGAGAAGTAAGTGCATTGCATTGCTCTCTTTTTAACAAAATATTAATTTTATTACATGGGTTTTTTTCTTGACATTAAATATTTATTAGAGTTTGCTTTTCTAACTGTGTTTTGTAAACTACTGACAGTGTGGAAACAAACTATAGCAAGCTAAATTTTAGTTTATCTTTATTTACTTATTATTTTATGCAGTCTGATAAAGGAGAAGTACTGTTAGTATAAATCAAAATCAGGCATAGTGCTACCAGATGGGACAGATGTCTCTACAAGGAGCAGCTGCTGCTTATATGAAGAGAAAAATTTTGTTCCCACTAAAATCACTGGATTTTAAGTTCATTTAAGTTCAAAATAGGCAAGATGTTGGACAACATTTTAAAATGCCTTTATATGGTATGGTTACCAATCTAAAGAAATACTTTGTGATTGTTGTCACAAAGTAAACAAGAATATTTTTGCCTGGCACATATTCACCACAGAGAACACCAGGGTTGTCTCACAATGCTGTTCCTGGAGCCAGGGTAGAGACCTGGTAACCTGTAGATTGATGCACAACAGCAGCTTTGTTCAACCTCACTGAATTAAAGCATTGAAGATTCCTTCCTGATGGGTGTCCTGCTGGGGGACTCTGTCTTCCCTAGGCTTAAGTTACCCTTGGTGAATGTCCCTCCAACTGAAAGTTTCCTTTGTATCCTTGTGAGCTGTAGCAAAGTGCTGCTAGTTTGGGGAGAAAATAGTACAATTTTAAAACTTGTTACACTGTTCTGGAAAATGCCATAAAACATTATTCGCTTTTACAAGCTTGAAATAATTTTCAAGTCATGATTAGAAATTGATAGTGGAATGCATGGTGGAAGACTTGCAGGTTAGATTTATGTTAAATTATTGCAGCTGGTGAAAAGGTAAAGAATATGCTGGGACTTTAGCAGAAAAAAGGAATCATTTAGTTGACTGTAAGTAACCTGGTATAAACATGTTTGAAAGCACCAATTTCTGTTAATTTTGCCTCAGTTAAAAACCACTCTGCTGTTCTTCTGATTTCAGGGTTGTAGCTATGGCTCTGCTGGGAGAACCAGAAAAAGCAAATGGATTGTTGGGCATTGTGCTGGCCAAGGAACCTGGCCAGATAGACATTCAGTATGTGAAGAAGAAGTGGGCATCACCTCAGCCTAAAGAATCTGACAAACTGCATTCTATTTTATTGCAGTCTTTTTAGAAAGAGAGTTGTACAATTTATTGCAAAATTTCTAGATTATTTTTGTCTGCAAATAAAATATTTGTAATTTTGCATTTGTATATAACTTGTATATACTTTAAAGAATATCAATACAATATTTCAATGGAAACAATATATTTTATCATAAAAATGTCAGAATAAAACTTACCATTATTGTACTCAAAAATACGATGAACTGTTTTTCATTATTGAAAGAACTCTAAATGTATATGTATTTTTTAAAAATAGTGAAAATGTATTCTTATAAATTTCATGGTTGTTTCTCATTATTCCACTCTGAACTAAATCACAGCAATCCTTTAACAAGCATAAAGTTGTGCCTCTGTACAAACTGAATGTAAGGAGATTTCCACCTCTGGGCCTTTTGAACAGTAGTGTTTGATAAAACTTTCTTATACCTACCTAAAAGTGTTATGCAAACATATCAGAATACAAATTTACATCACAAATACCTTACTTCTGTTTTTGACCCTGAAGCTTTGCAAAAGGAATACCTGAGTAACTCAGGTTCTGAGATGTATACTACCTATTTGGATCACACTATGTGAACAATATGCTTGGGAGATTTACTGACATTCCAAATCCTTTGGGATTTCTGATGTAAACCAGAAAATACTGACCTGTTTAATCCTGCAAATAATTTCCAAAGCTCTTGTACTGAGAAGAGGATCGCTGTTTATCATATGATACTAATTTTTGTACACTATTGATAAAGTTTGGATCAAAACCAAGCACTGAAAATATCTTTTGTAACCTAACAACCTCTGGTTTAAAGATCATGAGGAAAACCTTGATTAAACAAACACAGTTTCAGTGAAAAAAAGGACAATTGGAAGACAATTATTTTAGTATTTAATGGACATATATATTTAAAATATTTATAATCTCCATATAAAGTAGACTGAAATATTTGTAAATTCGAATTAATTAACTGCAAATGTTTTTCTGTGTAAGTTGCTACTTAAATTGAGCAAACTCAAAAGTGGCCACATGATGGTGCCAAGTCACAGCAGTAAAATACATGAGTGCCTTATGAAAACAACATCCACCACTTTGAGAGTGAGTCTGTTGTTGCCTACTGCACAAATCCACAGATGAAATGTTGGAGAAATGCATATTTCAGAAATTTTTGCAATCCTATTCCCCTGGTCAGCCATGGGAATTTTTTTTTTTTTTTAATGTGCATAAACACAAGTGACCCTTCTCGTCTTCATTGTTTGGTTTATACAGCAGTCATATACACTACAAGTTAAATTAAAATTCCTTTAGTAATCCAGATAAAGAAGAAAGGGCTGTTCCTTTTTCCAGTAAGGTAGCAGAGCATCACTACTGTAACACAGTTAAAAAGCAAACCCAAATCTCACTCTTTCCACCCCAAAGATCTGCACCATTCCTTCCCCCCAACTTATGATCAAAATTAAGTTTTGAAACTATAGTAATCTTCTGAAAGAAATCTGTTATCTTTTCATCACTTTCATCAGGACTTCCCATCCTGAATTTTCTCTCCTGCACCCAGTTCTGTACACGGGAACTGTAAGTAAACTGTTGGGGTTTTTTCTGCCTTGTGCCACCTGGTGCAGTGGTGGTGGGTTTTTCCAATATGCAAAAAGGAAAAAATAGTTTCAGCTTTTACACACAAGTATCTGTCACTACTTTTGATTTGATGTTGATAGGGATGCTTGAATTCAAATGTCCAGGTATTTCAGGCCACTTATGCTTGTACTGCCTGGAGAGTCAGTTCCTGCACTGGGCTTGATGCTTCTTGCCTAAAGGATGACTTTTCTCTCTTGAACTGCAAATTAATGTAATAATATAAGTTTAACCTGTGCTGTTATGAGAATGGGAGGAACAAAATGTGTTGAAGCTGCTCCTTTTTTGCATGCTCTCTCACTGGGTAAATGAGGGTAATGCTTCAGGCCATCTGAGCAGTTGGATGCATCGATGTCCCCGTTTTGGACCATATTTCAGGGAAGTGGGAAGTATTGGTAGGCTGCAATACAAGGAAAGCATTGCATGCATCAGGACTTATGAAATTGTTTCAAACAAAAGGTTTAAATTTCCATCAGCTACTTCTAATGATTGTCAAGTTTATACTGTTAACATAAAGTCTTGGATTTTATGCATAAGAAAGCGACATCATTAATTAGAAATGAGACTCTGTATATGAAAGAAAGAAGTTCACTGTGTTTACATATACATATAATTTTAACCAATACCTCTGTGTGTGCACATGCACACACATTCTGTTGAATGATCTTTATATAGGACATAAACACTACCATCATGAAACATTTCAACCAGACCAAATAAACATGTTTTTTCCCACCTGTGGGCAATTTTGGAATACAAATTCTTAACAGTATGAACTGTAGCTAAAATTAACTGACCCACATAATAGAGACTTACCATTCAAATGATATAAAAGTTAAATTACTATCCACCCACATTAATAACTTTTATAATATAAAATACAATCTCCTGCTCTTCAGCCAACAAATCCTGGCACCAAGGCTGATAAATTTTAAATATGCAAAATGCCAGAAAGTTTTGGATAAACTTCTGCTTTTATTTTCCACTTCATGAAGGTGCTTTGAAAGCCTTTTCTATTTAGAACATAAATATTAATATTGTTTTCATTCAATTTTGTCATCTTACAGATGGGAAACTGAAGTTTTCAGTAGCTGAATCATAAGTTAACTGAGGAACACAATTCTTGAATCAGATGGCTGATTTCTTACAACTGTTAAGAAATGCTTTTATTAACCTGTCAGCCTACATTTGCAGCAGAGCTTGGGAGAACAGGAATAGCATGACTCTTGTTTTGTACCAGAACGTTTCTTTTTAATTGTACTGAAGGTGACTATCCTACTCAATGCAATTTTGCCTTAATTAATTATTGCTGTCATTTAGTTAAGATTGGTGAATGATCTTGTAACCTGTGGAGCATTGTAACCTCCATAGCAATGAGGGAATATTCTGCTAGCTGATTATTTTTACCAGAACTCATTTAAATCATAGAAGCTTTTTCCTAAGGAGTTGGAAAGTTCATCTAGGTCAGTTCTAGGTGTAGAAATTGGCTGAACTAAAGCAAATACTAAAGTGTCATTGAATTACACAGACTGCTGGAATAGGCCTATGTAAAATTCACTGGGAATGTAGCCAGAGTGTGGCCATCAGTTGTGAAATACAAACCAAGAAAAGCTGTGAAGATACCAGGACAGGAAAATGGCTAATGAGCCGTATTTTCATTACCAGCTTCTATTATATTCTATTTATAGACAATTGCTTGGTTTTCCATGTGTTTCTGAGCCTCCTCAGCCGAGAGGAGGAAGGCAGATGAGAGTTGTTTGATAGAATTGATGGGCTTGATTTTGAGCACAAGGAAATCTGTGCTTTTCTCTTCATATCAGTTGCTGACATACTGTGAAATACAGACTTGAATAAAAGCACCATCATTCGTACATAGAAAAATCTGTATTTTTCATGGATGAAGCTTAAACTTTTTGACACTGTGTCATTAAACTGATGGAATTTCATCTCCAAATAATTTATATCCTACTATAAATTAAAGCAGCCTAAGGGCTCTGTTTCCCAGTTACATTAGTGCAACCCAATTGAAAATAGCAGTGATACCCTATTAAAAGCAGGAGTAAAGTAATACTGTAATAACCTATACTACCCATTGACATTTAAAACATGATTATTTTTCACCTTTAGTTGAACCCTCACTACTATTGAATTAATGAAATTTTGTAATATATTTGCTGCCCTTTTCTCCCAGATGTCAAGTGGGTTTTGCTTTTAGGAGTCTGAAATATAACAGCTCCATATTAAACTAATCTCATGCACAGGTCTGACAATCTGTTGCTGCTGAACAGGTTTAATACAATAAATGAAAAGCATATAGACTATAATATTAGTCTTTTTAGTCAAGCCTTGAGGTGCTACAGTGTTCTCTAAAGAGATCTTTCCTCTTAGCCAAAAGCTCTGCTTCACCAGCTGATAATTTCACTGCTATTCCTCTTTTATCTTTTCTGTCTTGTGACCAGCAAAGCTATTCAACTCATCTAGACCACAGTTGTTGCACGTCAGGATTTCATAACTTGCCTCTAACTCAAACTGCAATATTTGTTTTTTTCTCTTCCAGGAAAAAAAGAGACATAACACAGCAATTCATTAGGCACATATCTTAAGAGCCCCACTTTTAATCCACTTGGCACTTCTTAGAGAGAGAAGATGAGAGAGCTGGGTAAAAAAGTATTGCTTGGGGACATAGAGATACTCTTCCAAAGGCTTGGACAACAATCCATAAGTCTATAATCAGATATTTGCTCTAATTTTTAAATAGTAAACAGTGAACCCTTACAATAAAGATGTGAATTACCATGCCTGCACTCAGTACTGTAGATTTCCAATGCCATATCTTAAGGGCAAAGAATAAGGAGAAAAAATAAACTGTCCTCACCTAGAATAATTTTTGTCAACCATTTGGGAATCAAGTTCTATTGCACTATTGAAATAAGGGACCAAAAAAAGAGTCTTTGTCTCACAGAGCTTATATGAGGTAGGTGGAAAAGATTTTTTTTTTGATTGCTCCATTTATTTGCAATGGTAATAGGATACTCTTAATGCCCACACAGTTGAGCCAAAGGACAGGCTGATTAATACCAGAAAAGTAGGATAAAGGAAAAAATGGCTCTGAAACTGCCCTTCTAACCTTCATTTAGAAAATTAATGATTACTTACGTTACTTTTGATCTCCAGCTATTTTTCATGTTATTAAGACAGTGTCAAAGGGCCTCATTTAAAGATTAATTCAACCAAAATGAAATTCTTTCAGTGGGGTTTTTGGGTTGGAATGCAGGACAGAGGTTACAGAAAGACACTACATTACTGTAAATTCCCTAAATTCCCTTAGGCTTTTAGTTTATTTGCTCTGTACTTTGCAGTTTGGCAGTTCAGCAAGGTCAATTCATTGAGCACATACATTAATAATTATGTGGGTGCTGCATGAGGTCCAACTGAAAACTACCTATCCACAACCTTCAAAGACATTAAGAGTAGTTTACACTTGTTTAAGCTCTGCTTTGCATTCTTTTCATATTTTACAAAGATAAGGATTTCACAATATACCACATTTCACATCTTCGCATCCATGTCTTTAAA